GAGGGGAGCACTTTGCTGATGTCCAGCCTGGAGGCACAAAGAAGTGGATTGCATGGTTGCTTTTGGAGGGGTGCGCATGGGTGCGCATGTGACTGGCGGTCAAAGGCAGGTCTGCAACCGCTGAAGCTGGAGACAAGGCACCCTTGTCCTCTTTTCCTCTTTGCTCCGCTTCTTTCAAGAGAGAGCAGTCTTGAAAGGATCACCTGCAAGATCCTCCCTAGCTGGAAGGTTGTCTTCAAGCGGGCATGTGCCATCTATTGCTCGCACAGTCATAGCATTGTCCATGCCCTTCTTTCCTTGGGGAGCTGCACATCTGACACAGCATTGTCATTGCAAGATAGGACATTTCCCGGAAACTTCTTGTAGTTGGGAGCGGCCGCATGGGGTTTTATGTTGGGAAACACACCGCACCATAGATCTAGTGAGGTGTTCGAGATTCTGTTCACCTGCAGCATTGTGTCTAATGTTTGCATATAGCTCGTGATATATGTTCTTGCCTTTTTGCTAGTTGCACTCAATGGCATTGCGGATTCTGTTTTGCAAATGACAAGAAACTGGGCAGGCAAGTTCAGCTCAGCTTCTTAATGCAATAAGTTCTGTGAATGCAATAGGCCATGCAGATTTCAATGCCAAAAACTGAGCCAATCGAATGTCAGGTTGCCGGCATCTACATGCATAATTGCTGGTGACGGTGAAAGCTTCATCTTTAGGGCACTCTAACTAGATTCATCCTGGTGCCTGCAGGTCTGTTTCGCAGCTGCCCTAAGTGTCACAAGGGCCCAAGAAGGCAGCGCGGTGCGTTCTAGACGTTGGGGGGCATTGCTTCAGTGACACGCTTTGGGCTCCACTCAGTCACACTCTCTGCAAGCCGTGTGTTCAAAAGATCGCTGAGCTCCGAGGCTCTTCAAGTAGTTTCAAAAAAGTATGAACGTGGTCAGAGCTAGATAAGTCCCTGTCCAGCTAGGTTGACAGTACTTGCAGCGACTCCGTAAGCCAAGGGGTAGCTGCCTAAGTAGAGGGTTCAGGATCAAAAGTAAAAGGGATCAGCAGCATAACCACAGGGTCTAGCAGCGGATCGAGTGCAACAATGCTCCGTCCGCGGCCAAACCGACTGGCCCCGCTCCATCTGGGTGAACGCTCGCTGAATACCATGGAAAACGACGAAAACTGCGACCCGCGCCCTAACCTGCACCGAACCCTCTCCAAAACCCGGTCTAACCCCGACGCGCCCCAAGCAAAGCAGCGCAGGCTCAAGAGAGCGCCAGACAGTGTCTCAAGTGTCCCAACTAGTAGCGGCATGCGCAATGACGAGGGGGTTAGGGGGATCCCTTCGACAACAACGGCGCTTCCTGATCTGCCCTACTACGTTCTGTTTCACATGCTGAGCACGTCGGAGATCGGGGGCCGGGACTTGGCGTGCTTGGAGAGCGCGGGGTATGCTTTTCGGAGGGCCGCGGACCAGACACCGTATCGGTACCGCTCGATTGCAGAGATGGCTGCTTATGAGCAGTGCCAGGTGGGTGAGCTGTGCTCGAATTACTGTACATCTGAGGCTTGTCGTTTTCTGGACTTGGCATGTGAGGAAAATTGATCAGGTGGGCTGTTCTGACACCTTACGCAGCTGAATGATTTCTTCACCTCGTGAGCCAGCATGAAAAGATTCAGGACTGAGCTTGAACGATTATATGCAGTTGTTGACTTCTATTTGTACTTCGATGGCATGCTGTTCAACTGTTGTGGTACTTTACACTTAGCTTTTTGTGAGAGACTGTACGGACAGATCAATGCACAATCTTAATCAACCACTTTGGCATGCTCTTAACCAAGTGGTCTATCATCTCCCCAGCTAGCCAGGGCACCCCCTGTGGTTTCTGAAACTGACCGAAGCGCACTTGTTACTGTATGGGAACCCTGTTGAAAGTCCACCGTGAAAGAGTTCCTGCCATGACCTGGCTCATTTGACGGCACTCCTGCTCGAAACAGGTTCTCACCATATCGTCTTACCATCCACTGAAGCCCACCCGTCTCCAAAACCCTTGAACAGATTAATGGATTGTGACCTAATTTTCATCAACCTGCAGAGAAGGCCCTGGCTCAAGCAACTCCCCGAGAAGGTCCAGCTCGCCCTCTTCCACCGCTGCAACCGCAGTTGGAAACGGGTCCTCGCTTACATCGGCGCAGTGGGCAGCTCGACCAACACTGATGACCGATTCTCGGGCGGGCAAGTTTCCTCCGGGCAGTACCATAATGTGGCAGTCACTGCGAAGGGGGCCGTTTACACTTTTGGGGGAACGGAGGAGGGCTGCCTCGGCCGGGGCAGTGTGAACGGGGGAGGAAACATGCCGCGGCCGGTTCCAGCATTGCGCAGGATACGAGTGTTGCAGGTGCGTTCTTATTCTTGTTTTTCTCAAAATCTTCACGTCTGCCTTGAGTCTGCCTGTGCACTTCTCGTTTTGAACACCTTCTGGGCACTCGAGAAGAGCAATTCAGCTTGTGTATCTGACGAGCTGTAAGCGACGGTCAGGGCGGAAGTCATGCTGAGCTGGGTATCGTAGGCTTTCCTTTTCAAGTCATTGGTAGTCGAGAGCGCACGGATTTTGACAATTTGCAGGTGGGCATTATTCCTCACTTACCAAACGACTTTACTGTCAGAGCCTGTGGCTTCCACCATCACAGGATTCACCCTTTCCTTCGACTGTTCAGAGGGCCTTACAAAATGATAGGCGCAAACTATTGAAAGCCACGACGTTTGAAAGCCGAAAGGGAGCTAGTGTTCGCCTGCACCAGGTTTGCGTGGTACTTCACAAACAAAGCTTTTCACCCTGCGAGCTCTTGGCGGCAGCTGCCGAAACCCAGGCAACATCTTAGGGCGTATTCCCATCTATTCGTTACCCTCGTCCACGGGTCAATAACCCACTTTCGTCACAGTTAGCTGTGGCCGTGAACAGTCTCTTGATAGTATTGCACGCTCCAGTGAAGTACTGGTACAGAAAAACACTTCCATTTCGATAACAGGTTTCGCAAGCACACAGTCGGCCTGTGCCCACCTTCCCGACGGCACTGAAAACGTCAAGCTCCTCTTACTTCTTCCATCCAGGTGTCGGCAGGCCAGTCGCACACCGTCCTCGCAACTAGCAGCGGCGAGCTGTATACCTTCGGGCTGAACCAGTTCGGGTGCTGCGGGCACGGGTCCTTGGAGAAGCACCTCGTTCACGAGCCGCGCCTAGTTACCGGCATGGGGGGGGCGAAGGCGGCGCGCGTGTCCGCAGGCATGGCGCACACAGTGGTAAGTAGTGGACGCTTTATCGGACGATTGCCAAATGGCACCATTCAATCGGACGGCGTACAGCAACGTTGAGGCGAAGGCAAAAAGTACTGGATTTCCGTTGGCTAGGCCTAAGTCGAGTTGCATCACTCCGCCGGCTCATCCAAACTTAGATCTAGGATTTCAAGTCCTGCTCCCGTACCGATTCTACAGACCGAGACCCGTCCCCACGTGTCCCCCCGGACAGTCAAATAGCTGAAAATTGACGCAAATTTGACACGTGTCCTGTTGCCTCGCAACTTTGTGTCTCGTTCTAGTCTGTCATTGTTCCCTTCTTTTTCTTGGTTCCTCACGCTCTCGGGCCCCTTCCCGTCTCCTGCTTGTTTCGTTTGACATTTTGTCGTTTTGTTGCCTAATTGACTTCGTTTTAGTCGCCTGATAATATCTAACGATGACGAAAGCTTCTAGGCTCGCTGATAAGTCCCAGACCAGTCGTCAGCATTCGCTGGAGTCCGCTTTTCACGATTTCGTCCTTGGGCCAAGACGGGTCCCCGCCTCAGGGAGCCCGATGCTGCGATTCGGGCTCCCTGAGGAGTGATGCTTTACTTCGATTATGATTCTTGATCAAGTCGAAGCAAGCAGAGTCCTTCATCTGGTTGTTGAGCAATCAATCAAGCGCGACTGCTTTCAAACCTTCTTGCGGGGAATGGAAATATTGGCTGTTATGAGGAAGCCATCTTAGCCAGGCACTGAGATGTGGGCCGGCGTCGTAACCCAGTGTCTGGACGTGGCAGTTTTCGTCCTGACTTATGTTTTTTATGCCGTACAATTGAGAGGACAAGTGGTGGTCGTAAAGTCACTCCTTGGACATTCTAGTCCAGAGGTGGCTCGCAGAAACAGATACCACTGGTGCTGACGCGTTGTCACATCATAGAAAAGACGGAAAAGTCTTGAGTCTTCGATCTAGACCCCGCTTTTATTCAGATAATCTCAGTATCAGCGGTCCAGATCGATCCATAGCCCAGTTTCTGGCCGTCGATACCGGGGTTAATGAACGAAGGCGAAGTCCAGGTCGGCGTGTTAGGGTGCACCTTCTTAGTTGTCTTCATGGATCCTGACAGGATCGCCCCGTCGCTTCGTAGTAATCAAGATCCTCAGGCTTCAAGTCTCCTATTCTTCTAAAGACGACCCGTTGCTTGCGTCACCCTTAACGTCAAATTTAATCGCAGAATCCAGGAAGTCAGAATCAGCATTCGTGGCAATGACGATAAATATGACTGAGTGGACCCACTCAATGGGAGTTTGGTGCGTTCTGATGCCACGATTGCAATCACTGTTCAAAAATCTGCGCTCTAGTAAGTGCTTACGAGGATGTAGCGTGCTGAAATTTTTGATTGTTTACCTGCTAGCCTCGTTAGCTTCTTTCTACTGCCTTGCATTGATTGCCATGAGCGGCGTAGAACCGCGCAGTCGATAAGTTATGTCCTGGTGATGCTAACTGAGGTCTTCAAAAGAATCCGAGCAGTGTTCTTTAGATTCTTTTGAGCCTTCGGATTCCCTCCTTGCTCCGTCCCCTTCCTTGTGCATACTTAAGTTATGTTGTTGCATCTCTTCCTATACTTAACCAGGCAGCCTAATGGCGCTCTTTGTTGGTCACCAACAACAAGCTTTTGTCTCCTTAACCTAGGTTGAGTGACTGCTCTGAAGTCCCTAAGCAAGGGATCGATTCACAGGCTTTTTAATCAGACAGTGTCTTGGCGTCGTCAGTTCCGTACACTTCAACCCTCGTTCTGGACAGTTTGATTCCAGGACACACGAAAGCTGCGGTTTCATTGCCGCACGTTGGAGTCGAGCGCTTGTTATGCTTGTTTTGGTAGGTCCAGAGCGCCTCAGTGCTGCGGGCAATGATGACGGTTTGGTATGGGGTCCCCTTCCGGCACACGTATGCCAATTCTAACTCCTCAGACGCCACGGTGCATCTCAGATCATGCCGCAAAATACTCTCAAGTACGTTGTTCCGGCGCAGCTTTGTGTTTGTACGTTGGTACTTTGATTGTTTTGGTGGTATTCTAGCCTGCCTGCGAGAATGGAAGGAAGGAGAACAGGGACTCCCGGCGGATACCTTAGGAACATCCTTCCATCATTACCACTTTAATCGACGGTCAGATAAACAGACTCGATCAACCCCACACCGTCGATCCTGGGGGTAATAGTTAAGAGGGGTCTTGTACGTCGGCTTGGGAGTCCACGTTCTCCCTCCTTCCGTTCGGCAATGATTGGGCGAAAGAAGCCTTTGCAACACTTTCTCGGTTGGCCTTCCTTGAACCTTCTTCACTGTGGTTTTTTTGTCGTGGGTTGGCCACTTATCCGTCTCCGTTTCTCTGTGTCGTTGAATCCCAATGCACCTGATTTCCTGGGCGGCCTGCCAGCATGCGCAGAAGGATTGTCCAGCCGCCAAAAGGTGACACGGTGGTGTTGCAAAAGGCACAACCACTCATGCCCCATTTCTGGGTCGAGTATCAGGGTTCGAATATCAGGGTTCGAGTATATTGCCGACCCTAGAGTGTCTTCTTTCCAGATCACAAGAGAAGCCCTTCGCTTTGGTGCAATTCTTTTCCAGAGCATCTGTGCCACCTCTGCTCATGTCAATCTCTGAGCCAGCTTGTCTCTCTGAGCCAGCTGGCTGAGGACGTCAGAAAAAATTTGGGAGGACCAACAACTGGAGTGACTTGTTTATGAGACTTCTGGAGACATCGGGCGGACTCGGCTTGTAATCAATTGGTACGGGGTCCATATAGAGAGGCAGCAATGATGCTGGCGAGTTGGCGGACTCTGTCAAACGTGCCGAATTGCACAATGATATGCTGCTCGACGCGGTTTCTCTTGTTGAAAGCATTTCAATGTTCGTCTCGCCACAATTTCCTGTCTGTTTTCTTGTTTTTAATGGCGGATTAGCAGCTTGCGAACCACCGCTCAGAGGATTGGACTCACTTATCTGTAGCTGGCACGTCAAGGCAAAGAACTGCGATCAACGTCATCAGGTAACTGTCTATACTGGATTCTGACTGTTGGTCTCTCACGCCGATTCGCTGTCAATTTGGAGCCTGATGGCCACGCGGTATTGGTTGGTGACAAAGATGAAGATCAAGAATTAGGCCGCGCTACCAGCGGTGTGCCAAAGAGATTGAGCCAATTGATTTGAAAGATGATGAACTAAGTGTTCTAAAGACTGAGTTTAATAGCAAGAATTCCTTTCAACACTGGCTATTCTCGCTTGGAGCATATTGAGCTGGGCGGAAGGGAGCCAATCAGTAGACGCTTTCAGGATTGAAGCTTGCTTTTCACGTTCCGGAAGTGCCGACCATGGGTTCCAGTCGGCGCTGCGCTCGAAATATGCCAATGGATTATCTTGATCAATCCCTCCTTGGCAAAACAGATCACCAGTAGCGATTGGGTGCTGCCGCTAAGAGCGGATCGGTGACCCAGGCCCAGCAATCACGTTGTCCTCGTTTTCTCAGTTCTTAGGGTGACGTGGCAATGATTAAGCAAATCTTTGATTTGAGCATAATCAGGAGCGCCTGATTACGATGCCACGACCTAATTCACCTGAAGTACAATCATCAAAAACTCGAGCTTCTTCTGCCAGTCCTATCAGCGTGACCGCGTCACCTCTCACCCGGCAACTATGTTTCTTCCGACATGCGGGTTAAAGAGTTGTACTTGGACGCTTGCACTGAAGATGACGTGGCGACCGAAACCACACGTTTCAGATCCTTGCCTTTCTTCAAATCTCAACCAACTTGGCAAGGATTATGTATGACCATGGGTTGCAACTCATGATGTTTTGGTCTGATGCCATCACTAGATCACCCCCAAGTAATTCCTTTGAGGTGTTGGTGCTCTTTCGTTTAACCAATATCAGATGACCACGGGTTAATTAATCCCCAGCATTTGAATCGCGTAGAGTCGCACCCATTTGATGAGTCTCTCACCTCAATCGTCTTTACCAGCTTTGACTCTGACAAGCAAGTTGTCTTCTCAACCAGCTGCTGAATCCAGTTTCCCTAAACCGCAGGTCGCTACGGATCAGGGAAAGCTGTACACTTTCGGACGCGGCATCTTCGGGCGCCTCGGACTGGGCACCGAAGCGGACGAGGCCTTTCCGCAGCTCGTCCAAGATTCCGACCTCGACGACGAGTTCGTAACCCAGGTTTCCGCGGGGGTTAGCCATACGTTAATCGTAACCCGGGCCGGTAACCTCTTCTCGTGCGGGTACGGGTTGAAAGGGCGGCTGGGCCATGGGGGGGAGGTGAACGAGCTGCGGCCGCGGTTAGTGGCGGGTTTGCAGGAGGCGGGGGCCCACGTCATGCAGGCGTCAGCAGGGTGAGTTCTTGCTATTCAAGGTCTTAATGATATTCAAATCAGGAACGTGGAACACACCACCTTCTGCAGGCCGGACGCTCTTGCGTTGACTGATTGATTGCACGTGATTGCAGAGTTCCGCAGAGTGCTGCAGAGTTTATGTAAAGCAAGACGGATGCATTGGAAGAGGTGGTAACCTCAAATGACCGCGTTTCCGAGTGGAAGTTACGCAGTTCAAAGCCGTCTTCGACAATGGGTATAAGGCCCCTCCGCAGTTCAGAAGGCTCTTGCGCCGGGACTGCTGACGAGCCTGTACAAATCTACAACACCTTATCCTTTCTAAGCAATCTCCTTACCACGTTGTGAATCCTCCGCCTGCAGCCCTGAGCACTCCGGCGCCGTGACTGCGGACGGGCGCGTTTACACCTGGGGCGGCGGCTGGTGCGGCTGCCTGGGCCACGTGGCCGAGGAAAACGAGCTGGCGCCGCGGGAGGTGGAGGGACTTGGAGACGTGCTGGCGGTGCAGATCAAAGTGGGCAAGCGGAAGACGTTCGTCGTATCAGACGTGGGGAAGGTGAGTCGACGGACCCTGCTTGGCGGGCTGTAGCGCAGCCTGGTAGCGCGTCTGTTTTCGCAACGTTCATGAATGTCTTCGTTCATCTTTCCGATTGGGGAGGGACTCCGCAAGTCCGTGCAGAGTAGAGTGGTTGCGGCAGCGCTTGTGGCAACGCAAGCTACTACATTCTCAAAGCAGGATCGCTTAGCTCTTCATACAATATAAGTCGTTTCCAGCACAGCCATGACAGGAACGTCTTACAGCGTTACATTAAGTTCAAGTCGTACTGAGTAACATTAATTCATTCTTTTTGCAGCTATGGGCTTTCGGGTGGAGCGCCCTCGGAAGCCTCGGCTATGGCGAGACCGGCTTTGATAAGGTGCCCCATCCGACGGTGGCAGCGGCGCTAGTCGGAAGCAACGTCGTACAGGCAAGTGCTTCGACGGTTCTGTTTTTCGTATTTACAGCCTGCTTGGATTCTTTGTCGCTATGCGTACAAGCTGAAGGATTGGCGTTCGGCGTTCCCGTCCGGCTGAGTGTCAAAGAAAGGATTTAGCACGATCGCGCACTGCTTAGGATCAGCCTGAAAGCCACCTTCATCGTCCCGAAGAAAGCTGCACGTGGGGCGATGCATGTTTGTAAGTGGTCCGCTCCTGAGTCTCAATTCATTCCGTGCTGGGATGGTCAATTAGTGACACTTATTCAGCCAATATTTCGAACGGCCACTCACTTCGTTGCCCGTTCTGCTGCAGCGTTTTGTATCTTGATCAGTGTGAGCCAGCCGACTTGCTATGCCTAGTCACCCGTTCTCCCGTTGCTGACGTCAGGTGGGCTTCCTATCAGACGCTGACTTGCACTCGTCAATTTCATCTGACGTCGCCACAATTCCCACGCTTTTGCAGGTGGCCGCCGGACTGTACCACACGCTCGTTGTCACGCGGGCTGGGGACTCTGCGCGAGTCCTCTCCTTCGGCGACAACGAGAAGGGGCAACTAGGGGTGGCGAGCACGCAGCTCCCGACCTCGCTGGCGCCGTGGGAACTAGAGGGGCTCGAAATGAGGGGCTGACATCAGTAGCCGGGATGAGAAGGGGCAATTAGGGGTGGCAAGCACGCAGCTCTCGGCCTCGCTGGCGCCTTGCGAACTAGAGGGGCTCGAAATGAAGGGCTGACGTCGGATAGCCGGTTCAAAGTCGTAAAGTTGCTCGGGGGAAAGCATGGAGTAAAACCGAATGATTGACGCTCGTTATGAGGGTTTCGTGTACAGATATTGCATCTAGGAACTTGTACTCATTTCACAAGAATAGAGCTAGAAGTAGGTCGTGTAGCATGGTAGTATTGATATAGATGGAAGCGTACCCTTGGTCGCTTCCTCAATCAGTGTCGAGTTGACGCAGAGCAGCAACATCCTTGTTAGTCAGGTGACAATTCATACACTCGTAAGCCGCTTCTACGGAGTCCGCGCCGTAGCTGGAGTGCGCTACAGCTCTTAATATGGTTCCCTTAAAAATCTTTAAGCTGGCTGCATTATGTTCCGACCAGTCGCTTCGTTTCCGTTATCTGCGTCCTCAGAGGCGACAATAGGTTCAGAAACTCGCTTTCGAGGAAGTTTGCGCCATGGATCGAAGATCATGCTATCAACCATGCAATCTCAGGATGTTTATTCGCGTACAAAAGGCATGCCAGTGTACAAAAGTGAAAGGTGACTCGAGGATTAATGGCCGAGTCACATTCCACGTCAAATATCCATCGTTCACGTTGTGCGCCAGCGCACGACGGGCTTGCATGCAATTTGAGATGCTTAGATTGAGCCTGCGTGGCGTTTTGTGAGCCGGACTCAGAAGAAAGATGCCGTGCAATGGCCGGGAAATGCATCCATGGGCCCGGAGTATACTGCCGCCACGTGCCGTTTGCCTCTATGCAAGAGTGCAAGCTGAGTCAGTTCATGCAAGAAAACGCAACACTCTTATATTCATGATCCTGCTTTTGATTTCTCAAGTCAGTGTTCGACTTCGCCTCGGTCCGTCTTCAATGAGCTACGCCATGATGGTGCTTATACTAAGGTTTCTAAACAATTTTACGTGCGACTCGGCTTCAAGAGACAGCATTTCTGCAAAGCCGACTTTTGCGACAAGTTGCGACCGTGCCCTTTACCATGCAAGGTTCGAGTCTGTCGCTCTACATCGCCCAATCGCCCAGATTGATAGGCATCCTTGTCACACTAACATGCATTCCGCAATCAACAAACCTTGCTCAGAAAGCGCCTCGTCACCTAGCGCCGCACACGCCGTCAGGAACTCGTTCCGGGGCTCCTCGAACGGAAACCGCACCTGGAAAAGCGGGATCTCTCCGTTCTCGAACACCATCACCGGGCTGCATTCCGCCATTTTCAGCAGCGGCTCGTACCGGATTCCGGCGGAATTCAAGCGGAGCGTAAGGTCGGCCGTGCTCGCAAACACTGGCAGGCGCATCGGGGATGAAGCGGCAATAAACACCGCTAAACCCCTCGGGACGGCGAGACGGGAAACGGGGAACACGGCCGGGCGGTCGCCTACCGGGTCGGTTTGGGATGCCCGGTTACTTTTTGGGTTAGCGCAGCGGCTCTTGGTGGGAGTCGTGAAGGATCGGTAGACGCTTTCCGGTGAGTAGGAGAGTGCGGCGAGGACCACCGGAACGGCTCGCAGCTGCGGAAGGGAATGAAGGCACGTCTTGTAAACGACAGCTCGTCACATAAAGGGACCCAAGCTTGAGGCCAAATCAAAGTTCTCTAGGTTGCACAGGAATCATGGGAATATGCTCTCTAAGCCGAAAGAGCCTGGCGACAGTTTCTGACGGGACACCGGAAGAGACTGACTACTTTGAGCCACTCTGACACCGACTGATTGGATTTGGTAACAGCAGAGAAGAGCCCCCATACTACTTTTGTACAAGCTTCCGGTTTTGGAAGAATCTATTGAAAATCAGATGCCGCCTTGCGAGGCCCTCTGCTAATTTTCACTACCCAAGCCCTACCCAAGCCCGTCAAACCATTCATTTCCGTCTTTTCTGGCTTACTACTTGAACCCCACATGCCGAAAGCAATCTGCCAATCACGTCCAAATAGTGCGTTAATGAGCGAGTATATTAAGCGTCCCCTTTGGCTCTACAACCCTCGCGGTAGAGTCCCGGGAATGACGAGAACGTTGTTCTAACGGTCGACTTACTCACCAGTAGATGCAATGCAGATCCCCAACACCTTGAGCCACCCCCTTCTGAAAACGCCTGACGGAGGTTTTTAGCCTTTTGCCTTTGTAAGCGGACGCTGGTCACGTCTAAGAACAGCCTCTCTTGCCGTGCCAGCTCCTGGACGATGAACGGGCATGCATTTGGAAACTCCTGCTTTATACGGCGTTGCCTTGCCTCCTCCTCTAAGAGCTGCTCTAGGAGGCCCACCATAGCGTATCTTTGGCACTGGAGAAAGATAAGCGGTGAAACAAAGCTTCAGGTAGACTTTGAAACTTCAACGAGAGAGCGCCAGAACGTGAAGTTAGATGCCAACGTGGCTCCTGAAGTGCTTGGTCAAAACACGTGCAGAAAGCCCTTCTGCATAGACTTAAGTAGTACTTGTGAAAAAGCGCTTTTCGGCTGATGTTGCAACTGATTGCTTTCAAAGACATGACCACTCGAGCTCCTCGTCAGACTTACCGTATATTTCTATTTTGTCGAAATGGCACGTACAGACGGTAAGAACTCGGAACGTCACAAGCCGTTACAGATGTGACCACCTCCATCTCCCGCTGTGGAACATACAGGCGATTAAGAGTCAGCGCGCGCCCGCCCCAAGGAGGCCGGCCGCGGCGCCGCCCACGAGCGCGTCAGCGTCAATCTAGGCTTGATCATGAAAATCCCCGGACGGCGCGCGCGCGCTTTCGCCCAGGATAATCTATGTGCACCCGTTTGATGTGACCGCTTCCGACTCATGATCTGTAGCGTACACTTACACGAAAGCCCATATATGGTTTTTGTCTAAAGCGGATCGACTGATGATTCGTCTTCAAGACGCCCATAAATGCACGATGTTGCTGTCAACATTAACATTAGCGATGTCGGTCCCATCATTCAGCCGCTCGCTACCCCAGGATCGGACCGGCCACGTGAATGTTTTCGAAATATTCATCACGCGATTTTGTGGGCAGGAGTCTGGGAAGCTCACAATCGTAGCCTAGCGTACGGACAAGTTTGATTGAACATAAGAATATCTGGCTGCATGCAGCAGTGCAAGATCGGATACATAAAGCCTGGGGGAGTGTCTCGTTTAGGCAGGTCCACTTTGGCCTCTCAGCAAACGTACAGGTTCACTTTGGCAGCAAATTTCAAGGTGAATCGACAGAAGATGTGAAGCATTATAATGAAATGCCCGACGAGATATTCATGATTCGCAGCGCTGCGTTGCTCGATCGACTCCGTCACCCTGCCAAGCATGTGCTTTGGCAGACCGCCTGTTGCCATTCCAAAGACCTCAAGTGCAAAGGCGCGCGCGGTCCTTATGTGCACAACTGAATTATTTCTGCAAGGTCTACGCTTCCGGCCGCCAATGAAGAGACTGTCTCGGCAGCCCAAGTCGAATCAGGTTGGGAAGCCTAATGACAATGAAGACAGGAGAAACGGTTTGCAAACAGCAATATCGGGCCCTGTCTGGTTCAAAGTTTACAGTCACTATCCTGATATTGTGTGTCCGCCTTAAGCATGCTAGCATTTCCATGTATCAAGTTACATTTCTGAGCTTATCTGACAATCTTTCAACTGACCGGCCTTGAGTCACGCTTAAATACCGGGACGTCCAACTCTATTACCCTACGCAAGATAGATACACTTTCTGTACCGTTCCCGCTTATGCCAAGCTAAAACTTTGATAGTGGTGTGTCTACGCACGCGAGCCGGGAAAATCTTCCCTCAATTCAAGGGCCATCTTCTCGTCCAAACTCCCTCGATCCGCGGCATACTTTGGCGACCCCACCTCTAGGCGGGCCAGCCTTCTCATCGCCGCGAAGCGCTCGACGATCAGCACTCCAAAGCCCTTCCTCCGTTCGATGGCTTCCTTTAGCAGCGATCCGACGGTGAACAGGATCCCGAGCAGCGAGATCGCGATGGACGAGACGAAAATTTCGTCGTCGACGTAGATGCGAGTCGCCCGGGAGCTGCCCAGTATATACAGCGCAGACTGGAAGACCGACTGGGGGAGCGTCTCCAGCACGGTTTGCAGCAAACTGCGCGCCTCCTGGTAGTACCGAAAACTGAGCGGTTCCCCGCCCACCAAAAGATGCACCCCCAACCGCCCCAGAATACCCAAGACGTCAAACGCGGGCGTTGCCAACACTCCAAGCGGCCACAGAAGCAAGGTGAGCAGAAAGCGACGCGCGGAGATAAAGCTGCTTTCGCCGCCCGTTGAGAAGTCGGCGTCTGGCGGGCAGGGGGGCCAGAACCAGGCGACACGGACCCCCTGCGGAAGGGCTTTCCGGTCGCCTTTGCACGCCCAGCTGTCCGCCACTAGAAGCCCGGACATAAGGAAAGGCCCGGCTATGCACGGTAAGAGAACCCACATCGGCCAAACGCCCCAGACGTCTACCAAGACCAGGATATTAAGGGCGACCGACACGGGCATGAACAGGGATGTCAGGACGCCCAGCAGCTCCTTCAGGTTTGCGACAATGCGTGACGTTCCGCCGCGCTCTTTTGGAGGGCCGGATCGCCGTTTCCGGCGGCACAACGCGGCGACCAATACCACGAGAAGAACGCCGAAGGTCGCCCACGTGACCGCCACCACGAGGACCGCGTTCTCGTTCTTGCACAGGTTCTTCTGGCGCACGTTTGTATAGCCCACTCCCACGTATGCCGCGCTCCCGGGGCCGAAGTCCAGCTTATCCAGGAAGTCGGTGTCGTTCAGATAGACGGCCCGTCCGTCCACCAGAAAGTAGTCGTCTCTGACTTGCAAATCCAACCGCCCCTGCATTTCTCCCAGCGTCTCCACCAGGTTCGCCCGCCTCTCTCGCAGCGACAGCGGAAAGATTTCCGGCGCGCCGACCGGGACGAATTTCGGCGACTCGCCCCGGACCATCACGGCAATCTTCCCCAGGCAAACCGTTCTTCTGGTCGCCCGCGAGAGTTCGGAACCGGAACCCGTGACGTCGAGAACGCAGCCCTTGGGTGAGAAGCACGACCCCCAGAAACGGATGCTCGTTAGTTGGACGCCGATCAGGCGGAAGAATTGGCAGGCGGACGGAACGTAGGACAGGTCCGGTTCAGGTGGGGCCTGGTTCAGAGGGAGGGTTTGGGCGTTGACCGAAGTCGGTAAGCGAGCTGGTTTGCGAACACCAAATCAAATGCGTCAGGCTTTTCTATAACGTCCGGTGCAATTCTAGCTCATACGGAGTGTTCGAAGCGAAAAACTTTGTCGAATGCCTAGGTTCTGGTCTTTCCCGGCCCTTTCGTTCCTATGAGCCTGAAATAATCTCTAGGTTCTAGCGTGACGATTGTTGAGGCCACTTTTCCAGCTTCTTTGTTGGTACCGTGACCAGCGAAACGGCTACCATCAATTGGGACTTTGTTGGATGGCGGGTTGCCGGAAGATGTAATCACGGGGTCAACCGAAACCCACGTGCATCAGAACGGCAGGCAGCGTGCTGATATGTTCGAAATTCCGCAATCCTTGGCAATCAGAACGGATTTCAAGGCACCAGAAAGACCGACTCAATCGCGCAAGCTCGTCTCGTCCATTCACCTGGCTCTTGTACGTGAACTGCGCATAGGAGAGGTTCGACATCGCCGCGGCTTCAGGAGGAAAGAAGCCGTCCAAGCTTGTGTTCCGCAGCGACAGGTACTTGAGCTTCTTCAGACCGGAAAGCTCCGGCGGAATGGGGCCGGACAGCCCAGTGTAGCTCACGTTCAACCGGGACAGGTTTGCCAGGTTGCCGAGTTCTGGGGGGATTGGACCAGTGAGTGCATTCTCCTGCAAGTAAAGTATGGACTTGAGATCTGCCGTTTCTTCTACTTGGCGTGACTCGATCTGAACTGTTGAAGAAGCGTGTCACAAGAGCTCACACCATGAGCCTTGTTCTTGAAATGATGGGCAATCAGCCTGGGGTTGAGTTTACCGGAAGGTTTGGTTGCTAAACCAGGGTCAGTAATCAGTTTATAGTATGATTTTTGACCAACAATCGCGTTGTAGCTATGTTAAAAACCTGGTATCTGCTCTCTGCTTGAGTCTGGTTATGATGAGTTTCGAAGCAGTCCGTGACCGACCATGGTTAACCGCCACAAAATCCAGTGGAACCGGGTAGAGTCCCAGAAGCTGTCCTGAATTCTGCTCCATCTTCGACGAGAAGCAGAGGAGACGTGTCAGACCATACAAACTTGATTACCTAGGGCGTCGGAAAGGGGAGGCAACTAGCCATAAACACAGAACGTTCAGAGAAGAGAACGTTACGACGAAGCCCTATGTAACCCCCAGTATACACAACTGTGCATAACGGGCCAGGTCTCAAGCTTCTGCCGGCCCGCTTGTGCGGAGAAGAGCGGCTAAGACAATTGGCAACTTGAAATACGAGTGGCATAGAAGCGACGGATAACAGACAGACGTTAGTTGCACTTCAGACTCGCAGTCTACCTACCTGCAGGAAAATGATCTGGAGTGACGTCACGGCCCCAAGCTCCCGGGGAATCGAACCGGTCAGGTTATTCTGCTCGAGGCTGAGGAAGGTGAGGTTCCGCAGGTTGGAAAGCGTGGGGGGTATGGGGCCCTCTAGCGAGTTTGCCGCCAACACAAGAAAGTTGAGCTGAGCGGCGGAGCCCAGTTCCGGCGGAATCAGGCCGGAAAGAGAGTTGTCGTACACACTGAGGTGGAAGAGGGCGGGGAGACTCCCCAGGCAGGCGGGGATCGTCCCGTTGAGAGCGTTGCCTGAGAGGCCCAGAATCTGCAGCCCTTTGGCGTCGCAGAGGTCGGTGGGAATCGGCCCCGAGAACCGGTTGTTTTCGAGGAAGAGGTAGATCAGCTGCGTCAGGAAAACCAACGGGGTTAGACATACGTGAGCGACGTAATAATTATACTGGCGCCGCTAACAGCGTGGACTTCAAGGGCAATTGTGTAATCAACGTCAAATGTGTCGAAGAGAGTTCTTATGCTTCTGTCAACCCGACTAGATTTCCTTCCGAACCAGGCGCTAAACACGGGTTTGAGGACAAAACAGCTTACGCTTACGCTTACGTGTTGCACAGTTCATTGGCTCAGACCGTTCAAGCCCGTAGCAACTTCTCCTCACGAAAGAGGACTTCTGCTGGTACCAGCTTAAAGTGGACTAGTACGTTAACTCCTCAAAACCCCACCTGCACTACCACGCTAACGAACCAAAGAACGCATTGAGAACTGCAGCAACCATTCCGGCCGGCCCGCATAGGAACCCGCTTATGACCAACCCATCCAACCAAGAAGGGGAACGAAAGCGAAAGGCAAAGAGGTGAACGAATATGCAAACGCTGTACCTGCGTCGACTGGCCGAGTCCCGTAGGGAGCTCTCCCGACAGAAGGTTACCGTTGAGCGCCAATGCCAAAAGGTCGGGGAGCGCGGCGAACCCCGGGGGAAGAGGACCGGACAGCTGGTTGAACGGAAGCAAGCAGAATTGGAGGCGCGTCAGAGCCGCAAACTCCTCCGGAATGGAACCCGTCAACTGGTTAAGACTCAGCTCTAAAAGAAGGAGCTTGGTTAGCGAACCGAGGGAAGCCGGAATAGAACCGGTCAGGTTGTTCCCGTTGAGATAGAGGAACTCTAGTGATTCGAGATTGCCCAATTCCGGGGGAATGGAACCGCTCAGCTGGTTGACCTCCAGGCTAAGAGCTCAACCAGGTTCCCAAGCTCCCGGGGAACTTCCCCGGTTAGGTTGTTAAACCCCAGGTTTAGAGCAAGGAGGCCGGTTAAGTTCCCGAGCCCAGGGGGAATGGTTCCGGTTAACCCGTTCTCGTCTAGGTAGAGCAGGAGGAGCTCGGGAAAGTTTTCGGGGCGGGGTATCGGCCCGGAAAGCAGGTTCGTTTTGAGGTTAAGGAAGCGCAAAGCGCTCGGCGTTCCACCCAGGTCGCCAGGAATGGGCCCCGTCAAACTATTGTTACTGGCGTCCAGAAGCAGAAGCTCCGTCAGTCGGTTGAAGCTCCCGGGAATGGGACCCGTAAAGAAGTTGTTCTGGAGATACAGGAGTCGAAGCTTGGCGGCATCGCCGAGCTCGAGGGGAATTGCCCCGGTCAGGTTGTTATCGTTGACGGCCAGGACTGCGAGGCTCGGGAGAGCGCCGAGTATTCCAGGGAGGGTTCCGCTCAAACCGTTGGAGGAGAGGTTTAGGTTTTCGAGCCGTTGCGCGCGGCCGAGCTCCGGCAAGACTGGGCCAGTCAGGGAGTTGTTGGCTAGGGCTAACGTGGTTAGGGAAGGGAAACCGGCCGCGTCTACGGGGATCCCTCCGGACAGAAAGTTGTCGCTGATGTCAAGCTCGGTTAGGTTAACGAGGTTGCCAAACCCGGAGGGGATCTGCCCGGTGAGCGCGTTCTGAGCCAGAGTGAGTTGCACGAGTGCACGCAACTCTGCTAAAGAGGCCGGAATTGGGCCGGTGAAGGCGTTCTGGGCGAGGTTAAGCACCGAAAGGTTAGCCAGCAAACCCAACTCCGGTGCTAAGGGCCCTGAGAACCTGTTCCCTGACAGATCTAGAATTGAGAGGTTGGTTAATTTGGTGACTGCCGTAGGGAAGCCGCCCTCAAGACCATTTTGCGACACATCCAGAACCTGTAACCTGGCCAACTCTGCAATCTCTTCCGGAATGGACCCTCTTAGAAGGTTGTCAGACACGTTGAAATACTCGAGCTGACCAAGGTCGCCCAAACTAGGAGCCGCGTTAACCCGGGGTTCGAACCCTGTCAACCGGTTGCCAGACAAGTCGAGGGCAGTCACGTTCAAAAGGCCCCCGAGAGCCTGGGGGATTTGCCCACTTAACCGGTTGTTGGAAAAGTCGATGCCAGTGAGGAAACCGTAGTCGCCGAGCTCTTGGGGAATTGTGCCGGTTAGTAGCTCCCCCGACAAGTTGAGAGCGGCCGGGACTCCGAGGGTTAAGGTCGGGGTTAGCCGGTTGATCTCGACAATGGTTAGGGCTTCTCCTTGGGGAAGCGGACAGGTGGCGATAGCGAGAAGAGTCAGACCCAGCGTAAGGCGGATAGCGGCCATTGATTGCAACTAGTATATGTCACCTGCAAAAAAGAAGAGAGTATGTTCTTGTCTGCATCCAATGGACGTAGCTGGCAAATCTGTTTCTGAGAAAGGATGCGCGCAAGTGGAAAGAGACGCTGATTATAATCGTTATGTGTGACATTACGTGTCCTGCTGTGCGTCTGTGATGCAGTTTCCGTTACTACGGAAGATCCTCAGCGCCACTCATGCAAGGTTGAAAGAGGGGAAGCCATATGGGCTCCTTTTCAAGGATTCAATCCTCTTCCAAGGTACCTCTTTCTGTAAACAAATCTGAAGGCCCTCCAAGGAAACCAATTCTTGAGACTCTGACTGATGTTTCTACTGAAGAAGGCGCTTACAGACAAATCCAGATCTTATGTAAAGCCAACGGCTGTGGCTGCTGCAGGGTATCTGATGCGGGCTTGGCTTTGGACTTGCGAGTAACAAGGGGCCCGGAGGTTGGATGTGCACTTTACAGACTTTCATTTGCTGGTTCCATGTTGTTAGTCTCGTGCTGAAAGGCAATTCTAGTCTTTTGCTGAAAGGCAATCCCTGCTGAGGATGGATATTTCTTTTTAGTATCTACATCCACACAACGTGTCGACTCGATATCTACCGCAAATTGATGCAAGGGATGTCTGCTTGAGACAAAAGAGCGTCACAACAGCTGTATAACATCCACCATCATGACAGTGTCGAGCCAACAAGCGGCTCCTGTGAGCTTCTGTTTTGACCATTTTCAGCTGTCTGCTTGATACGCCCCGAGGTGAGTCACAATCTATTAGAAGCAACCAGTGAAATAAACTTCAAAGCATCCGACCATTGGACTGAGGCTGACCTTGACCAAGAAATGCCAACGGACCCAAGATCTGAGAGAAGGCCTGCACATTCTTAAACTCGATCAACTTCAGCCCCATGATCGCAAATATCCCGACCAGCCATGCAAAATTCTGAAGAGCGTAAAGCACGAACCCCCTCTGAATGTTTTCCTGCCCCAGGATAACCCTGGATTTCAGGGCCAACAGATAGGCGCTGCCAACTGAGGAATTCCTACACTGGCGTCCCAAGTAGTCCAGATAGCTTCAAGAGGTGGCAGTCAGAAGCAACCTCTTCAACTGCAAAGTACATGAGACATTGCGCTATCACGCTTGGGCCAGCTGCGAGTCATCCACGGGGACACACACAGCAATGCTCAAAGGCGCTGCATGACCAACTTTGTACATAGTTTGAAGGCTGCAAGCCCTAGATAAGCTGGCGCAGACTTAGCAATATTACGAGAGCTGCACCTAGTCATTAACGTTGCCTCACCAAGACCCCAAAGGCTGACCAAGTGTCGAGCACTCACGGGCAGCTCACCTCAGATTGGGCATCGCATAAGCATCTAAGTGGCAATGCCCTTGCCGAGCCTTTTCACAAAGAGGCTCAATATGTAACGGGGACGACGGGTTTCAAGCAGAAATACAAGCCGCAACAACCAGGCGTGTAAGTCAACAAAAAATGTACCAGAGTTCGTTGTGGATGTGGTTCATAACTCACACATTTGAATGCTGCCGTAGGCAATGACTGCGCCTCGACTGCGGGCTTGTACATCGCCAATCAGCGCCCTGATTCTGATAGAGCGCTCTGTGCCAAGAGGAGATTGAGCTGTGGATAGGAGAATAGCATGGGGTTCTTTTGCTGAACCCGGCCTTTGTGTACTGCAGGAAAAAATCTGAAAATCTTACCTCAATGCACGGTAGCGCCAAGTGACTGCACTGGCCTGCCGATACTAGTCACCCTGGGTCTGCGGTTGCCCTTGATCAAATTTGGATAAAGCAAGTGTTGATGTACTGACAGGTCATATTGTCCTTAGTCAGCTTCAAACCAAGCCACCAGGTTGATGTACCCAAGACGCCCAGAGGTAGCTTGCTGCAGAGACTCTCAAAAAAGGAAGATAATTTATAAACGAAGACCGCTATGACACTGATCAACAGATCATTTACACGAAGCACTCCCTCAAGAGGCCCGTTTGTCGACTCCCTGCGCCGTTTAGATTCTGTGAAAGTGACTGTCAAGGACCCGGCGAGAAAAGAAACAAGAATCCCGACCCACTTCTTGCTACTTTAATCGGTGGTGCTCCACCCTAACCACCAAGCTAACCCAACCGTGCCCCGGGCGACTCTCGACCCAAGAAAGCTTGTCTCAAGTTCAACTTCGAAATGTCGACATCAACGTGGGGTCGCGACTGGTCGCAACTGCACTTTTTCAGCAGAGGTCCTTGGTTCGTACCGTGACCTTTTTGGCACAATTGGTGCGATCAATCGAAGTTTGCCCCGGGGCGCTTCCTGCGCACCATGCAGCATCCTCGGGGAACAGTGCCTCCTGGGGAAGGGCGGGCCAGTTTGCCCCGAGGCCCTGAGTCGCTGCAAAAGCCGCCCGGGGACGCAAAGAACTTCTTTCCGGGGGTGCTATGCGCCCCGGTTTACGCCCCCCCAGGCGAACCGCGCGGCGCTGCCGTGCTGATTTTGTCGGGGGGATCCCTGAATTGTCATGATGATGTGGGACCTGGGGTGACAGGTATCTACTGAACAGTGAACTGTTCTGCGCTCATCACTTGCTGCTCAGCTGTTCAAAGAAACCAAGAGCGTGAAGAAAGTCGAACTCCACCTCGAAGCAAGAGGAACAGGAGAAAGAAGGAGAAGCAGCTTGGCGATGCCAGTACCGGCTAGTTGCAGAAAGAAGGGAATGCAATGACAGGTAAGCATTTGTCAGAAGAAGAGTTTACGTGCGCTCTGGCATTTCTTTGCAATCACCTCAGCTAGAACCTTGCATGTAGCCGGACATGTAGCATCAGAGCAGCAGGCTGCAGAAAGTTCAGCAGATGCATTGTCAATGTCTCATTTGAGTGACAGCATGCATCATGGTCAAGAGCAGTAGATGCAGTCTAGTGCAATACTCTGTTTCCCTATGGCCGGGGTCTATTGAATCTTGTATCTTGTCTTACCCTGTTTGACTAGAGGGCCGTCAATGCCTGCCAATCCGAGAAGTGCCGCAATGCTCTTCTATCTTGAGGCATTTTCAAAGCTTCTTTGCGAATGGAAGCACAGGATCATGAATCCCCTGTAAGCAACTCTGGTCAAAGAGCTTGGGCAGTCTGGACTTTCAGCTCATTTTGGTGTCATTCAGTCAGGCTGTAAGAGGATTTGGGGCAGCGGTCTTCAAACCTAACCAGGCTTGGTGCAATGGTCTTAACTTATCCTGAATGAATAACCTCGACGTAAGCACGTGAAGGCAATGTCCAACATCTCACCACAGCAAATCCCTGAGATTTTAAGTACAGATGACTATACAGGGCTTCTAGGCAGAGGTAGTGGTTATCTCATGGCTGGCCAAACCAACAATGTTGGGTGTGTCAAGACGCATGAATATCAAGTAGTTAAGTAGTTAAGTAGTTAACTCCGCCCTCACGTGAGTTTTCTAGTGGCAAAAAGTGGGTTCAGTGGTTTTCACAGAAGTGCTTTGGAAGTGCTGTCAAAGGCACCTTGCTCTTCTGTGCCACATAATTTGCCTGATCTATGTAGAATCATGCTTTCATCTTCTTTCAATGAGACACCTCTGAGACTGGCTGGAAGTGCGTCGAAAACCAACCGGCGCCTTCTCGTAACCAGCGGTTTACCCTCCGCTAAAAGAACTCTTTTCATAGAGAAGGGTAGGGAACCCTGTTGAGAAATTCTTCAGAAAGCCAACAGGTACTGGTACCTTGTAAGTAACTTACAGGTGTTTCAACTTGCCCTCCCCCTGTTATCCCAAACAAGGTGCAACTAACTCCTCGAATCACCAACAACATCTGTTTACTTGGAGGAGCATGTAGTCCAAGACCTGGGCAAGAAGGGTTTGAAAAGTGCGTATGCTTAGAAAGGGCAGTTCTGGACGAATATTGGGATAGTTTGGCCAAAATCCCAGTCTTCTTGGAACGCCCCACCATCAAATTCATATTCAGGACCCAACAGATTCCAACCCCCAAATTTGACCAAGTCCATTCCATCTCCTTACAGATATATACTTCTGAACTCGTCAGATTCTCGTTCTGGTGTGCCCCGTACATCAACAGGCCCGTCTGAGGAAAGCAGACTGTGGTTGATTTGCACCAGACAGAGTCAAAAACAGACAAGTTCATTCCAGAAGCATGACGTAGAGTCCATGTAGGCCCCTCCAGACTCAATCCATTCCAACCCACTTCACACTCTCGTACAGGGACCCAGATTACGCGAGCTGTCACCATGAGGGCACAGACACCTGTCACCATGCACGCTTGGACACCTGTCCTGGTGTTCCTCCTACTAGGCTCTGCTGCCCCACAAGTCTTTGCTGGCTCGGGCGCCTTCGACGGCTCTTCCTACACCTTTTGCGTGGCCGTACTGTTCAACGCCTCAGCGAGCGACATTGCGCTCATGCAAACAGTTTTCACTGCGGCCAGTCAGGTGACCGTCTGCCATGCTAATCTCAGGTCTAACCCTCACCTAACCTTGCGTAACCACCTTGCCTGACAATCACAGCTTTTGAACAGCTATCAGACTGGACTAAAGGTGTTTGCTCACATTGTGGGAGAGGCATAAGGTGTTGCTGTGCTGGCAACCCCGGTTAGTACAGGGCTTCTATGACCACACTTTACCAGGGCGTTTGTTGAGGCAGATTTCTTTAGATGAGGACCCGCTCCAAAGTTGGTACCCTCCCTAGTCAATCCACCTCTACACCTAATTGAAACACTAAACCCGTAGTTAGGCGCCATTTATGTCTGCCTAGACAAGCTTAGACTAAGCTAGCACCTCCACTGTTGGCCGTGAAGCTTCAGAGCGTCCGACTGGTAACCCGGTAACGTTGAGGTCAAAGTCGAGTTAGACCTCTAGTGCCATGACCTCCTGCATCATCGCCCTGCTTCTAAATCCCTTCTCCGAGATGGTAGTTGGCAGAAGCTTTTGGATCGGTCTGTTTCCTTGAGACTTGAAGCCCAAAACGGCTGCGAGGGACAAAAGGAGAACTCATCCGTCACCAAATGTCATCGTACAGCTAAACAGGTTGCGCTACCAAAGCATGACCTGGAGCAACTCTGTCCCGTTATGCAGGTGTTTAACGATGCAACGGACGGGCAGCAGCAGTTTGGGACGATCAAAATCGTGCCCAACTCTGTGCTGTCAGATGATGCGGAGTTCTACGTCCACCCGCTCAGCGGCCGCGCTGACCCCCCGACCGCCGGCATCGGGGGAGGGGGACGCTACGGATACAAAGGGGAGGTGAGGCGCTTCGATCATAGCGGAGGATTGTTGCAGTGATAGGCGTGATCCAAACTGGTTAGCTGGTACGAAACACTGGCAAGTTTAGACTGTGTTTAGTGACTGTCTGTCAAGTTTGGTTCAGAGGGGACATCTGCTGTTTGACTTGCGTTGAAAGCTTCAGTAAAGTGGTTGCTTGGCTGGGTTGACACTGGCAAGGACGAATTGCGAAAGGGCTTCTCATGCAGAGGAAGCTCTAACCAAGCGTCGAAAGCTCCATACTTTTTGATCGTGTTGCGTACGCAAGGCCGAAGCCTGTAAAACACAGCTCGATCCGTGTACGTAAGCGGAGCCGAACAGCTCTTTCCGAGCCTGCAAACCGCTTTTCCTTTTCTCGCAGCACGTCAATCTTTACTGGCCGGACAACTTTGCGAACACGACCGTGGACGAGGGCGCGTTTAGCATCGCCCATGAGATGGGCCATCTAGTGTTTGGACTCGGCGATGAGTATTCGGCGAGCGGGAACACCTCGTGCGCTGCGGATACAGCTGACGGCAGCCTCTCGTAAGCGACCGCCTTTTCAGTCAACTCCCCTCCTCTGCAGTGTACGCTTGTTGAAAGAAAGAACGCATAGCAAGATCTGACGGCGTTCGCTGAATTCAGTCGTAGACATGACTTGTATATCCGTGGTACCTGTCTGAAAGAATGCCTAGCAGCATAGAAAAGAGATCCAAACAATATCTATTAAAAACTTAACACGCCCCTATCTTTCTTGATAAAGAAAAGCTGGTGTGAGCACTTGGTCAGGCTTTGTGAACCAGTCACGCCCCCCGGACATGAGATGAATACCGAGTCTCGTATACATGGCAATCATCTGGTTAGGCAGTTGATTTCGGTGATGTCGATGGCATGTGGTGCTTTTGCTCGACTCACTCGCAAAGCTTTGGCTGGTGTTAGGTAGAGGAGCAAGCTCTGCCCTTTGCTATTTCTCATCAATTCAAGTCGTCGAAGTTCTCAAATCGGCGGAAGCTTTGGAGAATCTGCGTTTCTTGTAAGACCTCACATTTCAGACATGTTGAACTTCCAAACCCCAGGTTTACGCTGACCGGAAGAAGTGGGCAAGCTTCATTCGTCGATGCGGACGTTTCAACGCTTTAGTTCGTTGCTTTAAACGAATCCAGTCTTCACCTTTTTTCAAACGTGGACAACTTCCTGTCGCGCAGGTTCTGCTTGATGGACAAACTTCCTGACGCTCGGCTCGCGCAGAAACGACACCACCGCGCGGCCGTCGCTCAAGGAGTTCTGCGTGCACGACGTGGGGGGCACCTTAACCCACGACCCTAACCTCGACACTGACCAGAGCAAATGGCACGCGAACCGCTCCTGTTGGGACACCATCGCAAACCACACTTCCCGCCCGGCGGCCCCGCCAAAACGGGGGCAGCTCCCCATTCCTACGGTCCCCCCTCCCTCGGTTGTCAACTTCCCGAGCACCGGTTCTGGGCTGAGTGTAGTGGTTGTGATCGACCGGTCGTACAGCATGGATGATGACGACAAGTTTGAGTACGCTAAGGCGGGGGCGATCGCTTATATAAACTCTCTTTCTGAGGGCGACAGGCTGGCGGTGGTTTCCTTTGTGTGCGGCGCGGGGCGCGACATGGAGCTGACGTCAGTCGACGGGTCCGGCGTCGTCAAGAGCACCGCCAACAGCGCCGTTCAGAACCTGAAACTGGGCAGCGGAACCGGAATCTCCGCCGGAATCCAAGAAGCGATCGACATCCTCATCGACGCCCCGGTTCGACCCTGCCGGGAGATCATCCTCCTGCTCACCGACGGCGATTACAACTGCGACGTCCAGCCGACGCGGCTGATCCGGGTTCTGCAAACCGAGGGGATTTCGCTCAACGCGCTCGCGGTCGGAGTGGACTTAACCACGGCCGGGTTAACCGACTTGCGGAACCTGGCGTTCAGCGCGAGCGGGCAGTTCTTCGCGTTTCACACGCCCCTGGCCACTGTGAGCACGTTCCTGGAACTAGGCGCGCGCAACATCGACAAACGACAAGTGGGCTCGTTGGTGGGTCGGGAGACGTCTACCGGTTCCGCCAACGGAACGATTCCGGTGCAGGTGGGGCCCCTGGCGATTCTGTCCGAGGTCAACATGACGGAGATTTCCTTCGTACTAGTTTTCAACTCGTCCGTCGCGAATCTGACGGTCCAAGATCCGGTCGGGAAGGCGGTCCAGGTCACCGGCTACAACTTCACCACGACGTACAGCAACTTTTCGAGCGCCCAGAACTTTACGCTGACAACCAACGCGACGCGGCTGAACCAGTCACTGGGTTTGAATACGTCGTACAACCTGACGCCCAACACCCGGGTCGACATCGGGCCAAACTTTGTGGGAATTACCATCTTCCAGCCGGTTCCGGGGATCTACAACGTGTCCGGCGTTCAAGTCCCCAACGGAACCGCCAACGCCAGCGCACCCGCACCTGCTCCCGCGCCAAACCGAGCCGGCTCGAGAATCGTCGCGCCCCTGGTTCCCCAGCTCGACCTCTACGTCTACGGCAAGAACCAGCTCGGCGCGCAACTCGTCGCCTTCTCGCTGCCAAACGGGACGGTGAAAGCGCCAACTGCTGTCGTCATCGAAGGCAGCCTGCAGTACAATGGCCGGCGGGTGCTCAACGCCGACGTCACGGCTGACGTCTTCTTCCCCAACGGCACGCGCGCAGGCAGTGTTCGGCTTTTGGACGACGGGAACTACGCGGCAAACAACGACACGTTTCCGAACGACGGGTACTACACCGGGCGCTTTGCGGCGTACGGCGTCCGAACGGACGGCGCGTACACGTTCCGGCTGACCGCCCGTTCCGGCGGAAACGCCACGATCTACCCCGGGGAAGCGCTCTTTGCGGGGCGGAGCCCCCCGGCGAGTGTGGAGGGCGGTGTGCCCGATCTAGTTCGCCAGCAGCTTGTGTCTGTCGTTATCTCCAACACCCCCTATTTTGCCCCGGCAGCCACCCCCCCGCGGCCACCTGCTTCCACATGAGCAAAGTTTTGCTAAGCGTGCCGTTACTCGCCTTTAGGTCAGGTGTTGAATCCTGATTTTGACAGCATGTGTTAAAAAACGTAGGTGTCGAGGTATGGGACGCCTTTCTGCTGCGCTAAATTGGCGCTCAGACAGCTGGTCAATTGTTGCGTCCAAGTGAAGTCAGATAGTCAATTAAAGTTTGATATGTATATTTGTGAGGATGGTTTGGTAGGCCGGGCGAACGAACGAGTCTTCTTTAGGGGCAATATTTTCTCGATGGAAAGATGAGAAAGTTGATACAATACGTCACCACAAATATGTTCGTTTTGTTGCTAGTCGTTCAGATTATGACGGTGGTGCGCTCGCGGCGAGCTGCAGAAAGGTCTATTTAATTTATTGACGTGAGTCAGGGAGGTGGTGGCCTTGACACTTACATAAGGCCCTACGAAATAGGCCCTGCACTTACGCCGTTCTTCTTCTAGGTTTGAAACCTATACACAAAGAGTAAGCTCCAAGTGAGGAATTGCAGTTCTCCAACACAATCAAGTAAAGTCGCGTGTCGCCTAGAAGGAAGTGCAGCAAACGGCTCAATTTTGTAAGTACATAACCCCGCCTGCTCTAGTATCTGATGCATGCAACCAAGCAGAATCACAAGCGTCCATTCTTCGCAATCATGATGTTTTTGTATGTATGTGGCCGCACCTTTGGAGTGAGGATGCTATGCAAGCATCAGATGCATAAAACCAGTTGGCCGGAAGAATGGTAAGCCAATCTTTGAATGCAACATTTGAATTAACCATTTGAAATGTCGCACTCTTGTCTCTCTCAAAGTCTCGTACTGACTTTCCACCAAGATGAAGGGAGCGCCTCGCTCAGTCTCCCTTCTTTTAACTACTGAAGGCCGGACATTCAGAATCGTTCAAGCTGCCAACGGGAGGAACTCGTACGGTCCTCGTAAACATGCGAGTCCCCTCTGAAAGCAGCTGCTTGTTAGTACACTGAGACGGAATCAAAAGTTGAGTCATTTCAAAAACGTATCCACATAAGGGATCAACGACGTACAGCAGAATTGGGCCGTCAATATTGGCAGGCTTTCTTCTATCCAACCGTAACTGTGGTAGCCTGCTCTTTACTGCAGACTGCATGTTCGGCTGTGGGCTCGGGCCCGGCCTGCCCCATCTATATTTTGTTAAGTGTACTCACAAGTGTGACTACAATACGCATCACTATACGCTTAGGCTGTCAGACCCCCAAGATGCATCAAACGCAATGAACGCTCTCAGTTAGCCCGTCGATGATCGCCAGAATTCATTCACCAAAATGTTTTGTTGACTGCGCGCGCAAGACAGGGTAGTCCCGACGAAGGTTGCGCCCAGGGATCCGTCTCTACCGGTAAAAAACGCTCACCATTACACCGTCGGTGGTCGCCGGAATGTGGCGCGGACAGGTAGCCGTGACGGCGGTCGTGCTTCGAGACCCCGCCCGGCAGCCCTTAAGCTTCCCGTGTCTGTTTGAAGGCTTCTGCTCATGAGATGAGAGTGTGAATTTTCCAATGTGACCGGAGTTTGAACGCCCACGTATAAGCGTGCAAGCAGACCCTGTGGTTAGAAATGCCGAGCAGCCTTGAAAGCTCTTGTGCGTCGGCAGATAAGCAGGTTCTCGGATCGACGAGTCTTGTTAAGAAGTTAGTGCGCCACGATCTTCTAGTTACTATTCCTTGATCACGAGACTCTCACCGAGGTCAGCGGCAATCGTCGTCACCAGCATGCAGGGGATTCGTCGTTTGTTATACTTTTGGGTTTGTGGCTCAAACAACTTTGACAGCTTAACGTGCCCTGCCCACTCTAAGCCTCGCGCTGGACGTGACGCAATTGCATCTTTTATGACGTTATAGCAGTCCTCTTGCCTATGAAATCTTCTTTCGGCTAGACCAAAAAGGTAGCCAAGTGTTACTAGCTGTTCTCAGATAGCTGATCTTACGTTGACGTAGCTATTGGGGTCGCCTTTGGACGTCATCATTGCCGTGTGTCTGGGGCAAGACCAGCAGGCGGGCTTACACAGCAGCCGCGCGCGCTTTTGACTTCTGATTGTCTTACAATCTCATCAACGGCAGCGGATTGTACATTCGAGATTTCACGAGGTTATCTGGCGACGTTATCACGACGTTCTCAAACTCCAGCGCATCATCAGCAAACGTCCACCGATCGTCAACACCCAGACGTTCGTATTAGCGCCAGCTCAAAGCAAAGTAAGAAAGTGCGGAAATATAAGCCTGATGTCTTGCTCCGAGCGAAAAGAAGGCAAAAATGGCATGAACTCGATCCGTTGGGGCTCGATTATTCGGTGGACGATCTGAGTCTGCTTTTGGTCGAGCCCCTTCCGTATCAAACCAAAAGTGGGCTGACCGCCTCTATTGCACCCGCCAGGGGATGTTTTTACGCTTCAGCGGAATGCGCCCTATTCAACGGCAACAGGACGTTCTTACCAGTCCCATTAAAAAAGAATGATAATTTCGTGTTACCATGAGATCTTCCCCGCGCGTGAAAGCTATGCAATTGCTGAGGTTGATGAAGAGAAATCGCAGGATCAATTCAGCTTAAAATGCCGTTTAAAGTGGAGATCGACGGCCAAAGCGCCTTTTGAAGATCAGTATACGTAGACCTCAGCAGATTGGTCAGAGTTACAAACCCGAGAAACTTTTCCATTCTAAGTAATGTCACGAACGACGCTTGACGTTCTAGTCAGCCGGCAATAAGATGGGCTTTACCGACTTACTTCGTCACGAGTTTTCCTTGTAAGTATATATGTACAATAGTTATCACACGTACTGTCTTGCTTATCGGATGCTGCTCTCTATTGGGAAGGGCATACGGTCGCGGCAAAACTCCGGAGCGGAACGTTTAACCAAGCACTCGAATTAGAGGTATCAACGGTTATGGTTGAGGAAGCTAGCTACCTTCACTCTGCATGTATCTTTGAGCAGCCTTTAGCTATCCGCTGCTACCACAAACCAGATACGCACAATGTCATCCTGCTTATAAGGGTCATTCTTGCCGTGCTACCTGCAACAAAACCAGCATTCAATCTCAGGTGACGGCTTCCTCTCTATCATACTTCGGTCCAGATATCCCCAAACCTGCCCGGTGTGGTCTCAAAATGGTCATTTTAAGGACCTACGACCGAAACATCGTTCAGAAGCGCAAACGAATGTTTTCGGGTAACCTAGCGGAAATACTTACCGCAGATTTTAGGTTATGCTGCTGTGTAGACTCTCGCTATCGAGCACTTGAAATTGGATGATCCAGCGCCTTGCTCTGAGTTCGAAGCTGAGAGCGCGAGAACAGAGCAAGAACGGAGTTTTGAGTCCGGCCTGGAACGTTTGCTTCATGAGTGACTTGCTTCGCTTTTGCAACGCTTCCCACATCTCCGCTTTCAAGCTTCCCACGTTTCCGTCCCGCTGAGTGAGCGGACCGCACCCGTTGTGCTCTGCCGTCGCCCGTTCCGCAGAATGGCTGCCACGTGGCGTCTGCGCAGGGCACTCCCGCTGCTTCTGTGCCTTGTCTCAATGCCCGGCTCGTTCTGCGACGGGCGGGCACGAACCCCCGTGCAGCAGGCAGGACAACTAGACACGGGAGAAGAGGCATCCGCCCTCTTGGAAAGCGTTCCCGGGTATCTTGCAAGCGTGCTTTGCGACGGTAAGGCGTCAAGAACTTTTCTTTTAGAGCTTTTCTTGCTCCAGAATGAAGGGGCATGCAGAGGAGAATTGGATGACCTCGCTCACAGAAAGCCAGGGCAGCTCATTACGTGTGACGCAATCACAGCTAGTTGACGTCTTAATTTCCCGAACCAACGGACCTTGTTTTCAGTGATTCCTTCATCGCGAACAAGGATAGGATGGATGACGTTTTGGTTGGAAAATCTGCTGTCTCATCCTGCATGCAATTCCTCAGATCACCAAAGTATAAGTATCGATCTTTGAAATCAGCCTTGCATCCATCCCCCTCGAAATTGTGTTTTATGCAACTCAGTATTCGCTCCGTTTACTGCAGGCCTGTTTATCTCCGACCGCACCCTGGCCAGCCTTCTTTCCAGCGAAGGATGCCTCCTCGGTTGCGCGCTCCTGCCAGAGTTGCTGGCGACCAACGCGCTCAGTTACACCGTCGATGGTCGCCGGAAGTCGGTAACCGCGCGCGCGGGACACGTGGTCGTGACGGCGACTGCGCCCAGGGATCCCTCCCGGCAGCCCTTCTCGTGTCTGGTGAAGACCTCGGCTCAGGTAGGAATAAAAGGCTCACGAAAACCCGGTTTGAGACTGCGTTCGAGTCTTTTGTTAACTCAGGTCTGAAACTCTGAGGCGATGTACTCAGAGCAGGTCTACTTTTGTCGAAATTTTGCTGGCAAGTTAGACGAGATTGGGGTGCTGGGAGTTGCGCAACCCTTTAGCGGTTAAGAAGCTTTTCCGCTTGGCAGTTCCGAAAAGGGACCAGAGAAGTCAAACCGCTCTTCTTGTTTGTTTGACGTCTTCTGCGAAGGCCCAAGTCAGTAAAACTTTGACAGCGCAACAACAATAAATGCGAAACCTTCTCGTCTAATCTTTCGCCGTCTTCACCCATCAATCGAAACCCGTTACCTCCTCTTCTTCTTCCGGTCTGGCCTTGTTGCTGCAACATTTTGCAAAGCTCAGCTCCACGTTTGCGTCCGTCGCTGGATTGGATTTCCAATCTTCCGAATCGAAATTCAAGCGCCCAGAGAGTGTGACGTCACGGGCGGTGCGCGCGCGCAGGTCGGCCCGGTGGTTCGTCCCGTTTACCGTTCCAACGGGTCGCCATATCGGCGCTTCGATTGGCCAGAGGCGCGCGGCGGCACCTCTTCCGAGTTCTCCGGCGTGGACTACGGGCGCCTCGCGGCCGCGATCGCGCCGTTTTTTGCCGATCCAATGGCGCCCAACTCGGTCGCCAACGCCACAGAGACACGCGCTGTGGTCGTGATTTACCAGGTGAGGGCTGCCAACGTACACCTGTTTGGAAATAAGAATCTGGCGACAATCTGGCGACAATCTGGCTTACGCCTTCTCCACGAAGACGCCGAAACCTGTATCTCTGGCCCCTGAGAATGCGCGGCGCGTCTGTGGGTGACCCGGATTGTCTGATCGGCTCAGCCGACGTATGTGGGCACACTCAAGGATTGTGTCTCTTCTGATAAACTGTGTGAGCAGATAATGCTTACAGGAAACTTCTTATCTATCGTTTCTCTGGCTTGTCCTTTTGAATTGCAAGTTTGATCCTTCATCTGGCTGTGGTTGCACGACCGATCTTCATCTTAAGAACTCCTCGCTTTATTTGCAGCAAGTATTCGGAATCCTTCCACGGGGTAGACGACTGGCTAAGCCTTCACGAATGTGTTGCGATTTCTTTGATGCTAACTTTCCCTCGTCCAATTGCAGGGCAAAATCATAGCGGAGCGGTACGCAGAAAGCCTCGGCTTCTTTGAGACGACACCGCTGCTCGGGTGGTCAATGGGAAAGAGCCTGACGTCCGCGCTTGTAGGGCTGCGCATCGGTGACGGTAAGGGGCTCACGTGTTTTGTGTGTCATCCGGGAAACTAGACCGTCTTTACAGTTTCAGGGCCACGTATCTGTCAAGTTACCACGCGATGTTTGTCATGCGGTTATTCGAAACATGTTCGTTCATCGCGTTGAAGAATGTTCTCCGCAATCTGTGTTCGGCAAACCCGTGCAAGGGTTATCCAAAACCTGCAATCGGTCAGTATAGTTCTGGAGGCAAACTCAATGTCATATTTGAGTTTTCTTTACCCGAAACACGCAGGGGCCCTGAATCTCACAGACTTGGCGAATCCGCGCGCCTGGAGTCCCGCGGAAGTGGCGGAACGGAACATCACCGTGGCGGACCTGCTCCATCAGACAAGCGGAATCCGGTGGAACGAGTCGTCTTTGCCCGGTTCGGACGCCAACAGGGTCACGTTCGGCCTCGCGCAGAACGACACCGAAATGTTCGTTGTCGCCCGCCCTCAAGCTGTGCCCGCCGGTGAGTGACTTGCGACCTTTCGGATTCGGAACCTTCTGCTTTTCTCAAAGTGTCCGGTTCCGTCTGTCTTTCGGCCGCTTCCGTCCGCAAGCGGAACGATCAAATAAATTTTGACGAGAAGTTCGTCGCCGCCCGCCGGTGAGTGATTAGATCGAGGCTTCCGGCGTCCCGTTCCGCCCGCATTCCGGCCGCTTCTGTTCGCACTCAGAATGATCGCTAAGAGGACAACGAGAAGCTTTCTTAGCAGCGCAACTTAAGCTGTGCCCGCCCGGTGTGTGACTAGAATGAGGATTCCGGCGTCGGCATGTCGGCCGCTTCTGTTTCGTTTCCGTTCGCATTCTGGCCGCTTCTATCCGCACTCCGAATGATTGCTCAGAGACGTTTCGTGGCACCGCACCTCAAGTTGTGCCAGCGTGTGGGTTATTGGAACTCGGCGTCCGCGCGATCGCTAGCTAAGTGTCCGGTTCCCGTCCGCATTACGGCCACTCCGGTCCTCCTTAAATTGAAGACAGCCTGTGTACCGGTTTGCAAGTCAGTCGGCCGGAACTCGAAGATGTGGGTTTCCGAACGGTTACGGAAGCTTTCGTGCGCAGTCAGCTTTAACGATCAAAGGATAGCAAGACGTTCTGCCCGCCACCCTCTAGTTAAGCGCGCAGATTGTCGGTTTCGTCCGCATTCCGGCCACTTCCGTCCGCCGTCGATTGCAAAAGACGATTGCAAAAGACACAAACTTCTGGGCGTAAAGCCCGCGAGCTGTGCGCGTGGGGGGGTGGAATCTGTTCGCGTGTTTGGCACTGGCCGCATCCGTGCTGCCCATTGGCGCCTTTCGCAGATCTTTGACACTTCCTTACAGTCCGTTCGATATCTTTTGACCATCCCTTCCGTCCGTTACCAAACGTTGACCGTCCCTGCAGGTTTGCAAAGCGTCCAGGATTGTACTTCGACGATCCTCGACTTTTATCCGCAGTTGGCGAAACCGTCTGTGGCGAACCGCTTGGACCGGACCAAGTTTTCTCATTGCTTCCTTCCGCTTGCCAACACAGAAGGTTCCAAAAAAAGCAAACTCCATCGAATTGCTTCAGATCGGAACAGCTTCGCCATTTCTCGAATTTAAGTTCTATCTTCAGTTCTTGCGCCATCTGAGAAGAATAAGGATCTCCGTTTTGAGTCAGCGGTCGCTTCGGAGCTCTCTCCGTGTACCCTGATTTTGCTGCACAAACTCCTCATAAGGCGGCCGCCAGCTTACCATAAGAGTGCCCCCCTTCCGCAGGCACCCGGTTCGACTACAGCACTGGGAACGTCCAACTGCTGCAAGGTCAGTTGCGCCGCAGCTTCCGCGGGAACGACGTAGCGTATTGGAGCTACCCCTATAATCGCCTGTTCAAGCCGATCGGCGCGCGATCCTTCAAGCTCAGCTTTGACGGCGTCGGTACCATTCAGGTAATCCGCACATTATGACAGCTCTACAACCCTGCAGATTCCTTTGTTACGAACAGGGGACGTTAGCCACAGATGGCGTGCATTACAACAGAGCTTCCGCCTTTGTGATAGTTGTGCGTCTTGAATTGCGCGAACTTCCTGAATCTCTAGACATAGCATACACCCTAGCGAGACTGTTCATCTTATGCTTCTCGAGGCATTCAAATCTGCCCCATTGGACATTCGGCTTCTTAAGCCGTTCGGCTTTGGAGTCTCAGCCCGTTTCCATAAATCTCGAATTGCAATCGTACTCGAGATGCATCCACAAAAAGCAGGCTCTTTAGCTGTCTGGCGGGCTCCTAAAGAAGAAGTTTTGCTGTCGCGGCCAATCCGCGGCGTCAACGTCAAAAAGCGCAGGCTTCGCTCAAAACTGATCATTCAAACCCGTTCATATACTCCCTCTCAACAACAGGACGAAGGCCCATCAGTCTGCACCAATTTCTAATTTAGTTAAACTAGTGAACTAGTTTGGGGCGTTTCTGTGGGCAGGCCAGCTCCAGCGTATACGCGACCGCGCGCGACTGGGCGCGCCTGGGACAGCTGTACCTGCAGGACGGCGTCTGGGACGGCACGCGCATTCTGCCACGTGGCTGGGTGCGCTACTCGCGCACGCCCTCCTCGCCCTCCGTACGACACGTGTGCGGCCCAGTGTCGCTCGCACTGGGCCTCTGCGCACCGTACGGCGCGCTCTGGTGGGTCGCCCCGCTCAAGGGCGTCTCCGCGGCCGCGTACGCGGCGGAGGGTTTTGAGGGACAGTACGTAGTGGTCGTGCCGGACCAAGAGCTTGTGGTAGTGCAACTAGGGTGGGCGAGAAACGATGCCCTTGACGACTACTATGCGGGGGTCCTGGTGCGCCACGTCAGTGAGGCGGTGCCACGTGGCAAAAGCCCACGTGCGAAGAATACTCCAGGTTTTAGTCTCCCTTAGAGTTTCACCAATAGTGGGACAATTTTCCTGGTTCATGAACTTCTTACGGACAATAATGGGACAGGAAGACCTCGGTTTTGAGTCGATATTCCACATTGGCCCGCTTAGCTCATAAAACAGTTGATTAGGTCACCGTGATCGTGTATGACGTGATACCTTAGCAAGATTTCAGATTGCTAAGCGCTCTACTTGTCGTCCCAGGATGCATAGACGTGCGAGAAAATACTCATGTCTACGCGTCCACATCTATATTTTCGAATTTCAATCCAGATTAAGCCAAGAGGCCCATACGTACAAAGCCTGAGAAACTTTGTTACCAGTTTTATCTGGTTGTTGGTCAAAGTCTTCTTTTCGGATTCTGATGCAGTATGATGCATCTCAAAGAGGACCCAAGGAAACATATTCATTTGCAGAATTGTCGCTAGCTGATTGATGAAGAACTACTCGGCAGATCAAGCGTAAGGCTCTCGCAAGCTGTGAATTGTTCTTGCGAACGGAATCTCTAACGGAGACTTCAAGTGTAACAGAAGGTTCCAGCTTTGAGGCAGTACAGAGCAGTCGCCGTGTTTGCATATGCGTCGAAAAGACGGTAAGGCTTTTTGCAGCAATCAGTCGAGATCGCGCCGAATGCCATGTATGCTATGGCTTCCGCCATTTATATGCGACCATGAGGAACACTCGCTTTATGCTTGACCAAACCTGGGCGCGCGCGCTTTGGCTTATTGCCGGCATGTGACGGCAGCAACTTACAGAGACTAATTTGAGGTCAAAGAAAAGAATGAAGGTCTGGTGCCATGCATTTCAGACAAAGTGATATATCAAGAGGATTTACCCAGCCTTTAAAATGAATGATATAAAACAGACTCAGCGTACCGGCCCCTTTCTAATCAAAGGTCAATCTAAGACAATCATGATTGTCCTGAACCAGTGTACGTTTGGTACGTTGATGATTTAACTCCATTTGAATTATCCTGTACTTAACTACAGACTAAAGGCCTCTTAGGGTTTGTAATCTTCCCCTGAAGTTGAAACGTAAGCTTCAAAATGACACCTCACGTCGTTGGCATTCTACCGTTAACAATACAGTAGATGCGAAGGCGGTCTTGTCCTACAGTTATCGTTTTTATGTGAGGTCAAACTAGCGATTCTGGCACTCAATCGAAGAGTGCTGAAGCCTTAACCCCTATCTTAGGAACCCACTCAGGGGCCTCCCACATAGGTTGCACCGTTTATCTTCGTTCGCCGTACGACCCACTGTTCCAGCTTCCTCTCCAGGGCTATAGCGCCTGGCTCCTATTCCGCAGAGTCCGCTGAGCCGAATTCCCCAGTCAAGGAAAGCCTCCCGATTGGCGGAAGCCTCTAGATGCATCCGACTACAATTGAAGTGGGCGTCCTCAAACGTCGCGTGCAAGCACAGCTCCACGTTACCTGTGAATACGTTATACTTTCCAGGTTCGGCGAAGTGCCAGCAAACGCTACTGGCGGAGTCAAAATAATATGTGCGCAAAAATGAGCTCCGCATCCTCCGCTCCTCCTCATTTTTGTATAGGGGCGCCCACTTCACTGACCCGCCTCCGAAGACAATGTAGGACTCCAACTGTACATCGGCTTTTGCCCAAGAAACCTCTGTGATCTCGACGGGCAGGTTCTTGATTGGACACAAGGGATGTAGGTGGCTGATCTTTGAAAAGTAGTAGGCATCGAAACCAATATGGTACAGCGCGTTTTGCACTTTGCGTGAAGCTTGACCCACTCCATACAAGCAGAGCCGCCCCTGCAGCGTCCTCACCAAGACCAGAAAGCTTATCTCGGACCGCGACTCAATCTTCTTGAGACTCTCCTCGAAAAAAGCTGGTTTGTTCTTGTAACAAGCTAGTCTCTCTGACATTTCTTTGGCCCAGCGTGCTCGAACGAGAGCCTCGTAGCCACCGAAACGCTCGACTACTTCTCCAAATGCTGCTGCTTCGGGGTCCTTAGGTTCGGGAGCTTCTGCAGGGCTGTAAAAAGCAGATCTCCATAGAGAAGCATGCGAGGAAAGTACGGAGTGTAGGTTCTTGCACGCAGCGCTAGCAGCTAGCAAAGCTGGAGGATCCTGCGAAGCAAGCTTGTTCAAGATAGTAAACAAAGCTCCGTCGTGCAATTGAAGAACGTTTGTTACTTCCTTGGCCGCCTTCACGTTTCCTGGTCTTTGGAGTATCTGCTGATCGTTACTCCGCTCCATTGCCTTAGCTTGTTCGAGATTTGAGTCGGTGATATGGTCTTAGGAGCCCCACGACGTTCGCTGGGGTCTGCTTTGTACTGCGGGCTAAAAATTTCAAGTTCAAACCACGCCGCTTGCTATCTGCACATGCAAACGTCCAGATGCTTACAGGCTTCCAGTATTGTTTGTTCAAACTCCAAGAGTCTTTGGTCAGATTTCAGGTCCGGAGGAAACTTCAAGATCAGGCCTTGTATCTTGCTCGTAAAAGAATCAGGTTGACTGACCACCGCGGCATTCCTATGAGTCGACTGCCAGCAAATGTCGGCTCCTTGCAGAATTCCGCGCGGCTTTGCCATCGCGGCCGGCTTGCGTTTCCGGCGGGGCTATCCGGTTCTGGTTCCAATTCCGGTTCTGGTTCCCATTCCCGTACTTCTGGTTCCGCTTCTTCCAATTCCGGGAGAAAGGCGCTGGACGCACGCCGACCATGATGGAATCGCCGGCCGCCAACATAATGGCAGTACTGGGAAGCAGCACTGACCACAGACTAGTACCGTACTTGTGCCGAGCTGCAGTAGGTCAGTACAATGGGCGCTATTGACAGAAGCGCGGCCCCTGACGGGCCACGGATCCACTTTATGCGGGCATCGTTCTGGCAGGAGGGCTAAGAGGGGTAACCCTCCTAATCTTAGGGAAGCTCAGCGGCTCCGAATGCTTCTTCGAGTCACGCTTAGTACTCCCCAGATTCCGGGCGTCGTGGTTCTGGAGTCCGGCCCTTGAAGGGTTGTAACCCTGAAACCGTTAAAGCCAGAGGAGCAGCACGAATCAATCCATCTTAGGATGCACTAAATTGTTTGAAAGCCCGTCCAAGAGCACTGTGAACCAAAGATTTTGAATCTGGAATGCGAAGTTGTTGTTGCTGAGAGCCTTTGGTAGGGCTTTGGAGATGAAAAAGACGGAAAACATGTGATCCCGTAAGCATCTCATTATACGCTACTTGCTAGAGCATCCCGTTTGGATGCGTAGCCATGCAAGCAGGGATCCCAGTGACAGACTGTTGCTGCCATGATCAAAACGTGACCCCATCCGATGTTGAAACGTGAATCGGCATCAAAAGTCATACGAGCACGTACGCGAAGATACATTGACGCTTGAAACATACTGAACATCGACCGACTGTGTGCATCATGTGCTGTGGCTCTTGGCGCTTGCCGGCCGCATGCGAAACCCAATTTAGCGAGCACAATCTTGTCACTGACGATCAAGAATCGCGGCAACAAGCGACACTGCTAAAAATCATCGTTAGCATTTCGGCCCTCCACATCTATGAGATTTTGAGTGCTCAAATACTTCAAGCTCAGCGCCGCAACCCATCCAAGGACCGCCCACAGAGGTTACACGACGTGTCTCTGAAGTTCACCGTAAATTCTTCCGCTCGAGCTGCCTCACAGCTGGATCAGTAACGGCCATCCCACCTTCCGCAATAGCCTTCCACCCGTATCCCCCAATCGACAAAAGCCACCGAAAGCTTTTCCTCGACCGAAGCACCTGACTGGCTCCGACTCAGCCGCTTCAACGGCGGAACACGGATCCCATTGTACTCAGCGTCTTCAAATGTTGCGTGCAAGCACATCTCCACGTTGCTTTTGCGGTCGACTTCAGGCACTCCAGGTTCGCTGACGTGCCAGCAAATGCTAGCGACGGAGTCGAAATTCATCGCGCAAAGACAAACATAGCAATCCGTAGCTTTATATAGAGGCACCCACTTTACCGACCCGCCTCCAAGAAGGATGTACGACTCCAAGTTGACGTCAACATCCGCCCATGAAGGTTCTGTGACGTCAGCCGGCAGGTCCTTGATTGCAAACAAGGGATGCAGATGTCCGATCTCCGCATAGAAATAGACCCGTAGACTCCAACTATCCAGAAAGCTTTTCACTTTGCATGACGCTTGACCCGCTCCATACAAGCAGAGCCGCCCCTGCAGCGTCCTTATCAACACCAGCAAGCTTATTGCAGACTGCGACTCAATCTTCGTGATACTCTCCTCGAAAACAGCTGGGCCGGTCTTGTTCAATGCTAACTTCTTTGACATCGTTCTGGCCCAGCGGGCTCGGACAAGCGCCTCAAAACCACCGAAACTCTCGACTGTTTCCTGAAACGCTGCTGCTTCGTGCTCCTTGGGATCTGGAGGCTCTGAAGGGCTGTAGAAAGCGGCTCTCCACAGAGAAGCGTGCGAAGAAGCGACTGAGTGAAAGTTCTTACACGCAGCGCTAGCAGCTAGCAAAGCTGGAGGATCCTGCGAAGCCAGCTTGTTGAAGATATTGAACAAAGCTCCGTCGGGCAATTGAGAAAAACCTGTTACTTCCGGCTTGGCCGCCTTCGCGTTTCCTGGTTCTTGGAGTAAGAGCTGATCGTTACTCCGCTCCATTGCCTTGGCTTGTTGAAACTTGAGTCGGTGATATGGTTTAAGGAGCCCGGGCCCACGACTGGGGGCTGCTTTCTACTGCGGCTAGAATTTCGGGTTCTAACCACGCCGCTTTGCTGTCTGCACATGCAAACGTCCAGATGCTTACAAGCTTCAAATATTGTTTCAAGTTCAAACTCTGAGTCTTTGTTCAGACTTCAGGTCCGGAGGAAATCTCAAGATCAGGCCGTGTGTCTTGCTCGCAAAATAATCAGGTTGACTGCATACCCGCGGCATTTCTATAAGTTGACTGCCAGCAAAATGTCGGCGCCTTGCAGAATTCCGCGCGGCTTTGCCGTCCGAGTCGCGGCCGGCTTGCGGTCCGGCGCGGCTATTCTGGACGATTAGTTCTGATTCCCATTCGGTTCTGCTTCTTCTGGTTCCGCTTCTTCCAATCGGGAGATAGGCGCTGGATGCACGCCGACTCACCCTCGTGACTCACCGCGTGCCCATCTTTGGCAAGTCGCCATTTTTTGAGCTGTGCCAGCTGGGGATCGGACGGTTGAGAACTGAGCAAAGCATTAATGCCCGAACCCAAGAAGAGGTGTTAGCGCGCCAACCGTGGCGGCTTTGTGCGCGTTCTGCTTCCAATCTGGCTCAAATGTTAGAAGACCTTCTTCTGACGACTTCTGAGGTCTTCCAACAAAAAGAATGCTGAAAGAAGCATGAAGAATGGTGAACGAACCAGGTATGCCTAGGTTTAGACTGTGGGTTAAGAATCTAACCAACTTGCCAAAGATGGGACCCCGGTATAACAGCCACGAGACCACGATGGAAACGCCGGCCGCCAACATGTCGGCAGTATTGGCAAGCAGCACCGGCCACATACTAGTACTCGAACCGAGCCGCAGTAGGTCAGTAATACAACTTTGGGCGCTATCAAAAGCGCGCGTCGCCTCATGACGAGCCACCACTCTATGTGGGCATCGCACGACTCATGGCAGGAGGGCTATGATGGTGTACC